TGGAGGTGGCGGCTCCGTGCCCTGCCCGTGGTTTGGGGACACGCGGGTGTCACCAGGCAGCAGGCTGGGGTGGGCGTGGCCGTCACCCACGGTTCATCACCTCCGGGGGCCATCCCGCCTTGCCTTTCCTCCTGCGTCACCTCCGTTTCGGCACAGCTCAGGCCTTTCTTTCACACCATCCCAGGAGAAGGTCTGGTGGCATGGCCATGTCCCCTCTAGCGTTCCCCCTACGTGTCCCCTGTGCGTCTTCTCGCTCTGGCCGCGTCGGTCGGGGCGCTCTCTGCCTCTCCGGCCAACGGCTTTGCTTGGGAAGGGTTGCGTCCTCTCCGGGGCGCTGCCTGATTGCTCCGTTCCTGGAGGAGATGCGAAGCGTCCCCTCGGGGGGACAGCCCAGCGCAGGGCTGGGAACGGCGGTCTGAGCCGGAGGGTGAATTTAAGGTGGGAGACGTGGCTTCGGCGAGGGGAGCGGCCACCGCTGGTGGCAGCCGGGGAGGTGGGGACACAACCGCTCTGTTGAGGGTTCGGCGGGAGACGCGGGAGGGATGCGGGGTGGGTGCCTTGAAAGAGGAGGGTCCCTCGTGGGAGGGTGTCTGTGGGCAGCGGAGAAAACCGGCTTTTTGGGATGGGTGAGCGTTTGCTCTGGTGCAAAGCCAACACGTCCGCTTCCCTTCTGCTGCTCTACGCGTTTACCTCTTTTCTCATTTTCTCCCTTCTTCACGGGAATAGTTTCTTAAAGGGTGGCTTGTGGCGGATCCGCACAACTCCCGCCTCGGGGGTATTACAGCGACGGCGAGGGGTGATACTCCTTGTCTTGTCCAAGCAGCTCTACTTTGACCTGTTCTGGCCCAGGATGAGGGTTTCATGATTGGCTTATACCAACCAACGTCCAATTTGGCATCAGCCAGTTCAACCGATCGAGCTGGAAACCCAGTTTGGGAAGGGTATGAGGAGAGGAAGAAGGCGATGGCCAACCCTTTCTGCGGGTACAGGGATTCAGCTCAGCTTAAACCCGGTGCAGAATGGCTCCAGCACCCTCTCTCCCGTGTCTATGGGACGTGTCTAAGGAGGGACATGGTGCCTCTCAGCTCAGGGACCTCCTTGTCCTCCTCACGTTGTGTGCCTGCAGACTCTCCAACTCTGCCCACCGCTTTCCGCTGCCTTTTGCCTCAAAGTTAAATCCTGAACCCTTTAAACTCTTGAAAGAAGTCTGTAAAAGCTCTGTTTGTTAAATCTAGACGGTAAAAGGACCGCCCGCCCTAGCAGTCTGTGCTGCTCGAGCTCGGTGTGTTCCTCCTGCCGGACCCTGCTGCTGGGGTGGGACTGGAGATGGAGCCGTTTGCCCTAAAACAGCGGTTTGTGAGAGCGGGTCGGGCTGTAACTGTTGGAGAAGTCGGTGTTGGAGCGGGGAGAGTGAGTGGGGAGCCGTGGGACGTCCCCAGGGAGAAAAGGGACAGCGGCTTTGCTCAGAGCAGGAGTGAGAACAGAGTTGGTGTTAATCGTTTTGGGGGGGAAGTTCACAAACGCCTTCTATGATGATTTTCTTGGATTATAAAGCGGGTGACTGGCCGGTGGCACCCATCTGGGAGAGGGCAGTGTGAGATTCAATATAGCGCCAAAAAAAGCCCTTTGTGGAGTTAGGCGGTGGAAGGTTTGCGCTTTCATTAAAGGTTAAGGTAAAGCTCCTTGTTTAGGCTGAGATTTTGGGAAGCCTGGGTCCACGTCATGGATAGAAGGCAAATTTTAAAAAAAAAAAAATAAGAAAACAGTGTTGCATTGGCCGGGAATCGAACCCGGGCCTCCCGCGTGGCAGGCGAGAATTCTACCACTGAACCACCAATGCTCCAGCTGTTTGCTGCTGCCTGCACAGCTGCCTGCACAGCTGCCTGCGCCTCCCCAGCTGGCTGGTGGCTCTGCCATGGGGAGAGCTGGGCCTGAAGGGCTAGTTGGGCAACCCGGGACCTTGAAGCGGTTGTGTAGGCTGGAGCGGCGTTACAGCTCTCTTCGTTTAAGCGTGGCGGCTTCATTAAATCCCTCCAGGTAACGAGCCGCAAGTTTCAGAGGACGAGGAGGTATCGAGTGTGGAAGCTTTGTTTTTTGTTAGCGCTTGCACTGTGTAATGGTATATTTTAAAAATTAAGCAGAATATCAGCTGAAGCGCCGCAAGGGTCCGAAATTTGGGTGTTGGGTGCGCGTCTGGTTGGCAGCGCTTCCCCACCGTGCCGCCAGCGCTGCGGGTGCGTGCCGAGCCCCTTTCTGCTGCTGTATTGTGCCGTGTCGGGGGTAAACGACGCTCATCGGCCGCCCTGGTGGAGAGGGTGCTTGAAGACCTGGTGACTTCTTCTCCGCAGCTGCGGTGGGGTGGCCCCCGGGGAGCCCACCCTGGGCTGGGGGTTCACGCGGGGCGCAGGAGGCTGCAGGAGGGCAACGAGCCGCTGTTGGCCATGAGCGGGGAGGAAGGGAGAGCTCTGGTTTCACTTGTGGGTTCCCCGTTTCGGTACTGCTTTCTCCAGCATTTGCCGTGGCCAAAAATCCCTGTTTCTGACGACTGCGGGGAGCTGAGCCCCCCAAGCTCAGAACCTAAAGCCCCCTGGGTGCTTTCCTCTCCTCTCCCCAGGCTGGTGCGAGAGTTTGTGGCTCAGAACAACACGTCTCAAATCAAACATGTGATCCAGATCCTGTCGCAGGAGTTCGCGCTCTCCCAGCACCCCCACAGCCGGAAAGGGGGACTCATTGGCTTGGCCGCTTGCTCCATCGCGCTGGGCAAGGTAGGTATGGGGGGGGGGATTTATTTGGCTCGCGTGGGTTGCAGGGGGAGAACGGCGGCTCCTCCTGGGTCAGCGTGATGGGGAGACTCGGGCTGGTGGCCCCACAGATCCTCCGTTGCCTCCCCATGTTGCAGCGTACACCTGGGTTGTGTTTGAGTGTCCTCAACACACCTAGCCATGTCCTTTGGGCACAGGAGCGCTTTCTGGCCTGGGTCCCATCATGGCATCGCCCTCGACGCGGTTTGAGTGCATCTATCCATCCTCTGTCCCCAGCGGCTGGACTAGGCTCAGCAGGTCGAGCGCTGATTTGCGTTCACGGAGGTGAGAAGAGGCACAGCCCTTCCATCTCCCCTCCCCTGCCACCTCAGCCGGCTCTGGCAGCGCGGGCAGGGCCTTTGGGCAGCGGGGCTGAGGTACGGGCCAAAATGGTGGCAGAGCTGTAGTCAAAGCGGTGTAAGGCGTCGAGCTGCGGTAGCCTGAGCCGGCAGCTCTCTGTGGGGCTTGGCAGAAGTCTTACTTGCTGAACGCATGGATGGCTCGGTCCCGTTCTGGAGGTGTTATGTTGAATCCTAGAATGGTTTGGGTTGGAAGAGACCTTGAAGATCATCTAGTTCCACCCCCTGCCCTGGGCAGGGACACCTCCCACCAGCCCAGGTTGCTCCAAGCCCTGTCCAACCTGGCCTTGAACACCTCCAGGGATGGGGCAGCCACAGCTTCTCGGGGCAACCTGCCCCAGGGGCTCACCACCCTCCCAGCAAAGAATTTCTTCCTCAGATCTCATCTCAATCTCCCCTCTTCCAGTGTAAAACCATTCCCTGTCGTCCCATTGCTCCCCTCCCTGACCCAGAGTCCCTCCCCAGCTCTCCTGGAGCCCCTTTAGGCACTGGAAGGGGCTCTGAGGTCTCCCCTTTTTCGCCTTCTCTTCTCCAGGCTGAACCCCCCCAACTCTCCCAGCCTGTCCTCCCAGCAGAGGGGCTCCAGCCCTCCCAGCATCTCCGTGCCCTCCTCCGGCCCCGCTCCAACAGCTCCGTCTCCTTCTGCTGGTGGGACCCCCCGAGCTGGAGGCAGCACTGCAGGGGGGTCTCACCAAGGGACGCCCCTTGAGTGGAAAGTTGCCAGGTTTCTGTCCCAATTTAAGGTCTTTCTCTGTAAGTTCCCTCTCGTTAGCCAGAACAAGCTCAGTAAGTTGCCTCCAGGGCTATGCCAGAGCATCGGGATCCCCGTGGAGGGGAGCAGGGACTC